CAGTGCCTCGTGCGTCTTTCTTGGACAGGGAATCGGTGGGTCTTTCAATATATATCCTACTCACTAGGATATATTTAGTTTTAAATTAATGTTTTCTTTCTTCCTTTTTTTTTTTTTTTTCTTTTGGTACTGGAGATTGAATCCATGAGTACTTTGCCACCGGAAACACTTTAATTTTTTTTATTTTGAGACAGGGTCTCACTAAGTAGCTCAGGGTCTTGCCAAATTGCTGAGGATAACCTCAAATTTGTAATCCACCTGCCTCGTTTTCCCCAGTCACTGGGATTATAGGCTTGGCAGGGAGTCCAGCTGTTTTTAATTTTAAATTGTAATGCCAGATTCGTGGGACCCCAATAGATCTTCAGGAGCTGAATCCGATGCAATCACACAAGAGTCTTTATTGCAAGCTCGAGCCTGGACTCACAACCATATCCAATGCAGGGGTCCAAGGGAGTGAGTCCCGGCCCTTTGTTCAGTGAGATTTTGTAGGATTTGGAGAGATACTCTATGCTTCACAACATCACACAGCAAATCATCACACACTGAGGGAAAATCAAACAAAAACTCTTAACATTGATTAGCACATTCACTGGCGGGAACAAGTTGGGTAGGGGTGATTGGTTGGTTAGTACAAGAGGGGGATTCCTTTGCATTGATTGGTTTAGGCCCAGGGGTGTAGGTGCTGAACTACATGGTTTCCCAACATGTTATCAACCACCATAAACTACAGAGGGAGGGTCATCTGGCATCCCAGGTATTTTCCCTGTCTCATGCTGATTGGAGGTTGGTAGCGGGTTGCTATGGGTCCTCACCTACCTTAAATGAGTCAGGGACACCTGGTGCTACAGATCTCTCCTGTTATTTACAGACAAACAACTCAGCAGGGTGGGTATGTGCCTAGGAGTGCTCTGTGGGTTTTTTCCAGGACCAGGGTCTCGCCCCCTTCCTTAGGACAGGCCTTGAGGTAGAAGCTGCTGTTATTTATTTACTTTCAAAAATGGGTCAGTTTCTCAAAATCACCAGTTAACATATGGAATAATCGTATATATAATATATGATATATAATATATAATTATATATATGGCGGAACCAAAATTACGTAGGCAATCTTAGGCTAAAATTATATTCTTCCTATTTTATTATGCATTTTGGACACAACAATTTATTAATCTAGGTAAAGATACAATTACTACCGCGAAGTAAATATTTTGTTGTTTCCAAATAATAATGGGTCAAGTGGAAAATGGTTAGTCAAATAAATATATTGTTTTTTCTTAGGGAAATGGTCCCCTTTAATATGATAAAACACTTTCCTAAAACTTGATTATGGCTAAATCCTTGAAAGGACAGTTTCCTCTGTCTTAATTCAAACTAAATGTGCTGTAGAGTCACTTCTAGGTCAGAAGCAGGACCATGTCCTTTAACCTATAATTTTACATTTACATCCCTTATCTAGAGTTAAAAAACTGTCAACGTCCAAAGAAGCATCGCTGGCAAACACATTTATTTATTTATGTATTTTTAACAGCCTGGATTTACCAAACTTAATCAAATTTAGGAAAACACAAAGGCAACTAACCCTCCGCGGTCAGAGGTCCGCGCATGAGACAGGGAGGAAGTGGATAAAAGGCTACAGCCGCCGCAGGCTGCATAGTTGGTTGGTGCCCTGCGGCTGAGACCTAGGAAGCTCTGCTTGGTGTGGACCAGGTCCCTCCCAGATTTCTGAGCCAGCGAGCTGTGGCTCCGCACAGCAGCCCGAGCCAATTGCAAAAAACCTAACAAAGCCCAGCCCAGCGGAAGGAACGGTTTCAGGGTTGTTTTCTTTGGTAAAGGAGCTCTTCCTTGTTCTAGCTTTTACTCCGATCTTTGACCACTCAGCTCTCCAAAGCCGTTTAGACTGTTTGGTAAAAGAAAACATAACCAAAGCTCACAGCCACAGAAAAAGATGAATTTCCTTGTGGAGTTAGTCCTGCTTCTGCCCTTACTGTTCATTTTCTATTTAGAATCTTTTGTCAAGCTTTTTATTCCTAAAAAAAGAAAATCAGTCACCGGAGAAATCGTCCTGATTACCGGAGCTGGACATGGAATTGGGAGGCTGACTGCCTATGAATTTGCCAAACTTAAAAGCAAACTGGTTCTCTGGGATATCAATAAGGTAATAGTGCTTACTATGTTTTCCTTTCTGGTACCTTTAATCTGTGGACATGGCTACATTTTGCTGGCAAACACCTTTACAACATCTCTGTAAAGAAGATGGAAAAAAACTTACCATTGCCATTTTACAGATGGGAGGGACATGAATTAATATATTTATGATCCCAGGATGAATACCTAGAGGATATGATTTTTCAATTACCTCCCATGGCTAAATGAGTGTTGTAAATGGATCTTCACTTTTGCCCTTAAAATCATTTGTGATCTTCTTCTGAACTTGATTTCACTGATCTTAAATCTTAGTCATATAGAAAAAGTATTAGGGTATTAAAAGATTAAGAAGCTTGTACCTATTGCATCCTATTTGCAGTTACTGAGATAAATGAATTAAAAGATTATATCCAACATAAAGCAACATTACTATAGTTATTGGCAAGAGTAATGTTTAGAATAATCTTTAACAAAAACAATAAAAAGGAAAAAAGAATTCCAATGTAATTTTTTACCCAGGACAAGTGTAAGCATGAGCTTAAGGAAGAAAAGAGGACCCAAAAGTCTTTCTAGAAGGCACCTGGTGGCCAGAAACACCATCCTCGGGAGACTAAGGCAGAAGGATAGCAAGTTCAAAGCCAGCGTCAGCAAAAGTGAGGCCTAAGCAACTCAGTGACACCCTGTCTCTAAATTAAATACAAAATAGGGCTGGGGATGTGGCTCTGTGTTCAAGTGCCCTGGGTGCCCAGGCTCATTTCTGGTACCCCACCCCCCAAAAAAGAAAAAAAAAAAAAACTGAAAGAAAAAAAAATGGAGACAATTAAGACCAGAAGATGCTGAGAAAACAGTGAACCCTCTGCTCTCTGTAAAGGGAGATCAGCAAATGCAAAGCCTGGGACAGAGGGAAGCGAGAGAAGTAAAAGATGTAGATCTCAGCTGTCAAGTAGAAGAATAAGTCATAGCTACCAGCCCCTTGTGGCTGTTGAACATTTGAAATATGGCTATTTCTGAATTGAAATGTGCTGTGGATGGAAATAACCCATTTTGATTTTAAGGATTTGGTGTGAAAAACAATGTAGTCATTTTTATATGTTAAAATGATAATATGGATATATTGGGCTAAATGAAAGATCAGTTGAACAATTTGTCTCTGGGTCAAATCCCACAACCTTGTGAGTTACAGAAACTACACATCAACAAGCTCTTGGGCTTTTAGATATTGTTGGAACTGGTTCTGACCAAACTTTGCTGCCTGTTTTGTAATGCATAGTTCTGCCTGGTTTGACCCTTACTGATTCATGACCTGAGTTTGAATTCCACATTCAGCCTCTCCTTAACTTCTTGCATGTTCAGGTTAAGCACAATGATACCAACTTTCATTTTGTGTCATTTCTTGGGATGCATACCCAAAACATTAAGTCTCACTGGAACAAAAGTAAAACAAAGTATAAGACCACGAGAGGAGTTTATCATGAAGTGTTTGACTCATATTTGGCTAAATTATATGGTGCAATCCATTTGGAAATAATGCCTTTAATTCTCCTTTACTATATGTATCAGAGCAATTCCTTGTTAACTGATCTAATGTTTTCTTTTACTGAATTTATTAGAACAATTTTCTGTTAATTAGTATGATGTTGACTTTTGGCTTTAGTATGCTTTAGTACAACTATTCAGGGACAATTCTTCAACAGAAGGCATCTGAGAGAAAAATTGTTCAATTGATCCAAATAAATATACTGGTAAGTTAAATTTTATTTTTGTATCATGCTTGTTGAAATATTAAAATCACATTCATGGCTCCCATTATATCTATGGGACATGCTGTTCTAGAGTTGGAAGGACAGAAGCTCCAGGTCATAAAGTTTCCTGGAAACTACTGTGTACATTTTGGTTTTTACTCTGGGAAGGCGGTAGAAGGTGTTGAGCCAATTTCTGTTGAAGAGGATTCTCCAGTCACTGGATTAAAAGAATGAGGAGGAAAAGAAATAAAAAGAGCAAGTGAAGACAGTATTTTGACAATCAAATATGATGGAGGCTTGTCAGATCTGGCTGATAGTAGCAGAATTTGTGACAAGTGGTCGAAAAAATTAGGGACAATGTAATGAGGGTTTTTTGTTTGTTTGTTTTTTGCTTTTTTTTTTTAGGTGAAGTTAGTTTAAATAATTAACCTTTTATTTTGAGATTTTCTTGGCCCCCCCTTTTTTTTCATCTGCTGACATTAATGTTCATGTAATTTGTTATTTTGTTCTCTTGCCTTTTTGTTGCTTTTTCTAGTATGGCATAGAGGAAACGGCAGCTGAATGCAGAAAACTGGGTGCCCAGGCTCATTCCTTTGTAGTAGACTGCAGTAACCGAGAAGATGTTTACAACTCTGCAAAGAAGGTAAAATTTTATATTTAGTTAGAAGCACACCATGTTAGAGCTAGGAGGTATTTTGGAGATGATACTGACAAGGTAATTGAGAAATACTATGATTTTTCCAATGCTATGAAGCTGGCTAGACCCAGAATTAGTCTCTAGAGCTGATATTCACAGATGTTAGTATGTTGCAGAGCCTTCCAGGAAGCTTGTTAAAAATATACATTCTTATAATTAATAAATGGGATGGATTCAAACTAAAAAGCTTCTTCTCAGCAAAGGAAACAATCAATAATGTGAAGAGAGAGCCCACAGAGTGGGAGAACATCTTTACAACATGCATATCAGATAGAGTACTAATTTCCAGGATATATAAAGAACTCAAAAAACTTAACACCAAAAAAATAAATAGCCAAGTCAATATATGGGCTAAGGAACTGAAAAGATACTTCTCAGAAGAAGAAATACAATTGATCAACAAATACAAGAAAAAATGTTCAATGTATCTAGTAATTAGAGAAATGCAAATCAAAACTACTCTTTTTTTTTACATTCTTAAAACCTATTTTTATTATAATTAGTGCATATTAATTGCAAAAACTACTCTTAGATTTCATCTCACTCCAGTCAGAGTGGCAGTTATCAAGAATACAAACAACAACAAGTGTTGTTGAGGATGTGGGGGGAAAAGGTACACTCATACATTACTGGTGGCACTGCAAATTGGTGTAACCAATATGGAAAGCAGTATGGAGATTCCTTAGAAAACTTAGAATGGAACCATCATTTGACCTAGCTATCTCACTCCTCAGTCTATACCTAAAGGACTTAAAATCAGTATACCACAGTGATGTAGCCTCATCAATGCTTATAGCAGCTCAGTTCACAAGAGCTAAACTGTAGAACCAACCTATATGCCCTTCAATAGATGAATGGATAAAGAAATGGTGGTATATATACACAATGGAATATTACTCAGCATTAAAAGAGAAGAAAATTATGGCATTTGCAGGTAAATGGATAGAGTTGGAGAATATATGGTAAGCGAAGTAAGCCAGTCCCCAAAAAACCAGAGGCCGAATGTTCTCTCTGATAAGTGAATGCTGACCCATAATGGGGGGGGGAGGGTGGTAAGAATGGGGGAACTTTGATTAGGCAAAAAGGGGGCAGAGAGGAGGGATGTGGGCAGGACAGAGGATAGAATGAGATGGACATCATTACCCTAAGTACATGTATGACTGCACATATGGTGTGACACTACATTGTATAACCACAGAAATGAAAAGTTGTGCTCCATTTGTGTAAAATGAATCAAAATGCATTCTGCTGTCATATATACCTAATCAGAATAACTAAATAAGTAAATTTAAAAAATATATCTACATCCTTGGGACCGAGCCCCAGAGGTTTTCTTCCACTAGGTCTAGGGCAGGACCCAGGAGACTACATGTTGTGTACCCTACACACCCACCTAGTCCATGATTCTTATCAAGGAAATATCCTTGGATGTCTCCTGAAGCTCTTTTTTAACCCTAAAAAATTGGATTAGAAAGCTGGAATAAATAATGATTATCCTTCCCACAGAAGCACATGTTGCATAGTTAAGACCATAGCCTCTGGAGCTAGACTGGCAGGTTCAAATTCTGCTCTTCAGTTAATGCCAACTATATGACTGTGCACACATTTCTTAACCTCTATATCAGATCTGATTTTACTGACTATAAAATGGGGATTACCGCAGTGCCTACTTCATTTGGTTATTAATGAAAATTAAATGCATTAACAATGCAAAGTACTTAGAGTACTTACAGTAGCTGTCCCAGGACATGATCTATATTATTTTGTTGTTAGATATTGCTAGAAGAATCTACTAGCCCAGCATCTTTAGTTACCTAAATGGAAAACATTTGTTTCCACATTCATCTTGGACTAGGCTGTTCTGGGAAAAAAATAATTTTATTATTTTAGCCCATTCCAACTATTTTAACTATGATGTTTTTATTGAAATTGTTCTAAGCCTGTGTACTTAAACAGAGTATACAAAGGACATATGATCAGACGTTTTGAAGTAGCTAATTAATATAGCAATCTGGGTATTAGGCCATTTGAAATCACTAAACAAACTCTGGACTTGCTTTCTTTATTATGAAATGCGCAAACAAGACAGTCCTATCCTGAAGAGTTAATAGTAATAATGAAAAGAGTCAGGAGTATCGGGGAAATATGATAATGTTTGGTAATATGAAATAGGAATTAATATCTTATAACATTATAACAGTTTCATCAGTTCAACAACATAAAACATCCTGGCTTTCTTGATAATTTGGGGGCATCATTCTGAACAGTTTTTATATTGTTCTAGAGATGTGGACATAGGTACAATTGGTGCTGATCAAGGCCCAAATAACTTAGCTTGACACTTAACTAATTTAAATAAAACCTGATGAGATTTAGTGGTGTGGGGTGAGCCTTCTGCATTGATGGACCTTTGCCTCCATGCTTTCTCTCGGTTTGAGGTGTCTTATCTTGGTCTCTGAGATTAGACAGATTTGGGAGTGTCCCAGCCCCACCCTTTAATAGCCATGGAACCTTGAGTAAGAAATTCAGTCCTTCTGTGTTTCTTGTTTCTCAATCTTTAAAGTGTACATACAAGAGTTGCTGCCTCATAGAATTATTATGAGAATCACATGAGATAAATAATGAAATCATGTTAAATGCATAACAAAGTGAAAACTTCTAATAGGTGTTTTGCTACCACCTTTTCCTCAGATCCAAACACACCATAGCATTTTCTCTAACCATTCATAGAAGCTAGCTTTTATTTGAAATATGTTATATAGCAAAACTCATTATGACTCTAGAGTCTATTCAACCAAAAATCTTAGTTACTCAAAGAAATGTAAAAAATATCATATAAGATAACCTTGCATTGATAGCCCTTGGCACCCTGGTCTTATGAAAAGTAGAGCTTAAGCATTAAGATTCTATAATCTTTCTTGGGCTGGGGATGTGGCTCAAGCGGTAACGCGCTCGCCTGGCACGCCGGGTGTTGAGTTCGATCCTCAGCACCACATAAAAAATAAAATAAAAATGTTGTGTCCACCGAAAACTGAAAACTAAATATTAAAAAATTCTCTCTCTCTCTCTCTTCTCTTTTTCTCTCTCTCTCTTAAAAAAAAGTTTCTATAATCTTTCTTATTTAAAGGAACTGTTACTGATGATATTAAAGTCCAGAATATATACCTATTATTTTGAAAAAAAATTGCATTATCTGTAATTCTTCCCTATTGAATGCAAATATCTTTATAGTTCAAAGGATCCCTTCTGTTATTCTTTGCAGCTAGCTCTGTTCTTTTGCTTATGTTTCCTCACCTGAAATCATTTTACCTAGATAGCTGTGAAAACCATCTGAGTCACCTCTGTGGTTCTGTAAAGATGAATCCATTGCTTTCAGATTCTCATATTATTTTCTGGACTTGTATATGATCACTTTAATCTCTCAAGTGTTTCTCCTTCTGAATAAATACCAAAGTAGAGATTTAATTATCAAAAGAAAACACATACCTGTACCACACATGCATGTTAGGAAAGCATGCATAGTTCTTATATTATTTACATCATATTTGTATTTTCATATAAAGTACTCTCATAGATACCTCAGATGGGCAAGAATCTTCAAACATGTTCCATGCACATAAGTATAAATAAGTCTGTAATAATGATATATAATATTAATTCCAGGCTTGGTGGTGCATGCTTGTAATTCCAGCTGCTTGGGAGGCTAAGGCAAGAGGATTGTGAATTGGAAACCAGCATCAGCAACTTAGCAAGGCCCTAAGCAACTCATCGAGACTCTCTCTTTTTTTTTTCTTTTTTTTTTTTTTAGAGAGAGAGAGAGAAAGAGAGAGAATTTTAATATTTATTTTTCAGCTTTTCGGCGGACACAACATCCTTGTTTGTATGTGGTGCTGAGGATCGAACCCGGGCCGCACGCATGCCAGGCCAGCGCGCCACCGCTTGAGCCACATCCCCAGCCCGAGACTCTATCTCTAAATAGAATATAAAAAAAGGACTGGGGTGTAGCTTAGTGGTTAAGCACCCTTGGGTTCAATCCTCAGTACCAAAGTAACAATAGTAATAGTGATAACAGTAGCAATTCTCTATGTATATCTAGCGCCTTTACATGCATTATTTCATTTTTCCCATGAATAACTCACAAGCAAGGGCTGGGAATATAGCTCAATTGGTAGAGTATTTGCCTTGCATGCACAAGGCCATGGGTTCAATCCCCAGGACCACAAAAAAACAAAACAAAAAATAACTCACAAGCAAACCATATTATTATCTCTATTTTAAGAGAATCAATTAAAGTTTTGAGAGATTAAATAACACGATCAAAGTTCAGATAGTAGAAAAGCCAGGACTCAACTCAAGGCTAACCAAAGTTACCCCACTCTTCACCCCTAAGCCTACAGCCACTTAAGCTGATAAGCAATAGAATAGAGTGACCCTGAACATAAATACAAAGAAAGAAATAACTATGTGGCCAGCTTTATAGTATAGTATAGTCAATTTTACATAATTCTCCATAGAAGTCTCAGAATTTGCCAATAAATTTAACTTTTGGGGGCTTACCATTTGCAATCATGTTTAAAAAGTAAATACTGCTTAGCCAATTGCTTCTTGAGCTCTAATCAATAGTACAAAGTCAAGAGACTAAGTTGCAAAAGAAAATTTTTACCTATAGTACAAAGTCAAGAGACTAAGTTGCAAAAGAAAATTTTTACCTAGTAGACTGGTTGGCAGAGCTGTTTTGAGTATAGTTGTCTAAAATAAAAAGTTTTTTTTCTTTTTGTTTTCATGTTTGCACGTGGATGATAAACCTTTTTTCCACATACAGTGAAAAAATATACTCCTTGAATAGTGATTGCATGCAGACTTATACATTTACCTCTCAATGGATGTATTTTTCTTATTTTTAAAGGTGAAGACAGAAATTGGAGATATTAGTATTTTAGTAAATAATGCTGGTGTAGTCTACACATCAGATTTGTTTTCTACACAAGACCCTCAAATTGAAAAGACCTTTGCAGTCAATACACTTGCACATTTTTGGGTGAGTATGATTTGTTTTACAAAACATTCCATTTTGAAAACTCCAAAGACTAAGTTGAAAGTGGAGCTTTTAGCAAATATACGAAAGTATGAAATCAAGAACTGATGGTATAAGTCAGTGGTAGAGCTCTTACCTAGCATGCTCAAGGACATGGGTTCAGTCCCCACCACTGGGGAAAAAAAGTATTAAGTTCATGTTAAAATTTTTTTAGGTACTAGGGATAACATTATACAGAGAGTTCATTTTTCATGCTATGAATAAATTCTACCTATCATTCTCCCTAAAATAATAATGATAATAATAATAATAATAATAATAATAATAATAATAAATAATTATAAACTTCAGATGTTGTGTATATTCTAATTGTCAGCTAGGTTTTTACATTTTCATGCAATTGTTGAGAAATAAAGAAAGAATAGAGACCATCTGAGTCACCTCTGTGGTTCTGTAAAGATGAATCCATTGCTTCCAGATTCTCATATTATTTCCTGGACTAAAAATTGCAAACTTTATCCTAAACCTCACTGTTCATAAGGTCTTAAATCTTATATATACCTCATGTTTCTAAAATCTCCAAATAGTTCCTGATTAGCTAGTTCATAAAAAGTTTCCTCAAAGATTTCTTGGGTGTGAGTTCAGGATGATGCATAGCAAAAGAATATTGGGGTTAGTGAAATTTCAGTATTATTTTATATTATTATTCCCAGATTACTAATGTTTACATTAGTATTTTTATGTTTGTTAAAATGTAGAATATTGTCTTGTTTCTGCATTTCCTGCATATAGTAAGTACTCAATAAATGTTTAGTACGTGAATTGTTTAGTTATCACTGGATGATTGCTCTTTACTTCAATATTTTGCTGATATAACTTAGTTGTTTTCTAACAATTTCACATTAAGTGTAAATTCTTTAGATAATTTTAGATTATTGTCCCCATTTAATATATGAGTAGAAGACCTCAATGATAAGAGGTGGAGGGTCATGGATATAAAAAGTTAACCATTTAGATGAGGTGGATTCTTAGAGCTTTCATATCTTTGTTTTGCTTAGTTTTTCTAATGTGGGTATCCCATCCACTTGCCTTATGTCACTGCATTTGACAGTTTAGGGTTTTTATTCATATTAGGAACAATGTTTAAAATATATACCTTTGTTTCAAAATATTCCTAATGAGTCTGCAAATCAAAAATACAATATTTTTTTTTCCTCTCTTAATAAAAACTCTTTCTAGACTACAAAGGCATTTCTCCCATCGATGATGAAGAATAATCATGGTCACATTGTCACTGTGGCTTCAGCAGCTGGGCTAGTTGGGGTTCCCTTCTTACTGGCTTATTGGTATGTTAGCACGTGTTTTCTTCATTGGTTCCTATACTTAACTTGTGTGAGATATTTTACCCTGTTTAATGAGGACCGTCTTTATCAAAATAGAATTGAAATTGCTAAAATAGAAAGAGTTGGATGGTGTCTTGTGTAACAGCATTATCAACTATTAATTGCTTTCTGTATTTCAACTAGAGAACTATTCTAGAAATGGCTGTACGGAATTTATCCAGTTATAAACAAACCACTTAAAGCATTTTTCATCCCTCTTAGCAGCAAGGCGTTGTACAAAACCATAATATTTCTGTACCAAGAACAAAATTAATATTAATAACTTTAATATGAATAAAAATGGGTAAAATTTTGTAGATGCAAAACAGTATAACAGAGAATGAATGTGTGTGTGTATTTGGGATTCTAAATATTGAAAGTCTTCTAACAATGGAGTTTAACAATTGAATGATTATTCATAAAAAAAATCATTGTAATAACTGAAGAATTTTCTATAGCAGGTCAGTCATAGTAATTGTGGGCCCAAATGGGCTGTAAAGACTTGATCATTGAGGCCACTATAGTAGCCAGGTGAGCCTGCTAGTTCTTGACTATTTTTATATTTTAGCAAATAGGAACTTTTAATACTGTCAAATGAATGATTTCTCAAGCAGATGGCAATGAAATAGCTTGAGAAGAAAAATGGCTTTTTAAAATTCATACAAGGGTGTCATTTGAGCTAACAGGTCAGCATTGATTTGGCTCTGTTTTTTGGATAAGCATCTGATAGATGATAGAAGTTTTGCAGAGATACTGAAGATTTCTGCCAGCCAGAAATCAATATTTATCAGATGTTGTTTTTAACAACTGTGTAATTAAACAGATACATTGATTTTAAACATAAAACTTTTTTATTTAAACGTAGAACATAGTTGTAAGAAATGAAGAAATCCCAAGTATACAGCAGTATATATTGCAAAGTGTATACATCCACTTAACCAGCATGCAAATCAAAAAGCAGAATATACCACACCCCAGAAGCTTCTCTAGGAACTCTTCCCAATCACAGTGCTTCTTGCCTTCTTTAAAGTGACTGCTATATTGACTTGTAGCACCACAGATTGATTTTGCTTATTCTTAAATTTTTATATACGTGGAATCACACTGTATTGGGGAGATTTCTCTCTGTTGCTATTGTTAACTTTTGTTTGATCACTTTTATGGCTGTATAGTCTTATATTATGTACATTTGGATTGTTTCCAGAATAAGATTATTAAGAATGATGATATTTTGATTATTGACTCAATCAGTTACTAGCTGTGCAGTCTTAAGCAAATTGCTTAGCTTTTCTGTGCTTCATTTTCCTCACCTATAAAAAAGGATATAAACAGCATCTAATCATCAGGATGATTACAGTTAAATCATATAATTCAGTGCACTTAGTATAGAATCTGGACTCCTGCAGGTGTTCAGTCACAGAAGGGTGTCTGTTGGTATCATGTTTAAATTCCATTCTCTTGTTTACACACCAAACAGTGAGGTCTCACCTCTCAACTTAGGTTCCAGAATAATTTGCTCCCATGAAACTAAGTATATATGCTCTGGTTCCTGGTTATTAGAATGAAATGAGGAAAAACAGATTTACCTGATTTTTTTCTCATATAGTGTAGCCCTCATCTATTACTGTCCCAAGTTGCCACAGCAGTAGAATCTATTGCAACCCTAATAATCTCTCTTAGAAAAAATATTTCAGTTTCTTTTTGGAGTTATGGTCAACAGTTTTAATGATTAATGTGAAAATACACAAGATGATAGAACTGGATTCATGGAAGGGAAAGTCAATCTTTTTATTACATTCGAAAACATATATTTTTATGACTACATTTATTTATTTGGAATGAAACTAGGTGGTACATTGCTCTACAACACACACATATAAACGAGGATCAGTGAACATTTGTTTCCTAGCAATACTATTACATGATTTTGAATATATAGGAAGATCTTGGTTACCAAGGTATAGTTACATGTTTACAGAAATTTCCCAAGTAAAAGTAAAGAGTTGTCTTTGAACTGCACCCTCTGTTCTCTACTTCTCATGGCAGATGTGCAAAAATGTATTTTTAATGCTTGCTAAGTATTTTGTTCTTAGGTAACTTTGATTTTCAGAAGAAAACAATTAACTGGCTATGTATTTTGTTAACTCAAATAGCCAATTACCCAGTGTGGGACATATGAAAGTTACCAGTGCAAGAAGACTCAGCAAAACTGAGTCCTGTGGGTGGTGCACACCTGTTATCTCAGCAACTAGGAAGGCTGAGGCAGGAGGATAGCAGGTTCAAAGCCAGCCTCAACTGGGCTGCAGTTATAGCTCAATGGTAGAGCGCTTGCCTAGCACGTGTTGAGACGCTGGGTTTAATCCTCAGCACCACCTATAAATAAAGATATTGTGTTGTGTCCATCTACACCTAAAGAAATAAATATTTAAAAAAATAAAAATAAATAAATAAATAAAACAAAAGGTATCATGTCCATCTACCAAAAAAAAAAAGCCAGTTTTATTTTTTTATTTTTATTTTTTAGAGAGAGAGAGAGAATTTTAATATTTATTTTTTTAGTTATCGGCAGACACAACACCTTTTGTTTGTATGTGGTGCTGAGGATCAAACCCAGGTCGCACGCATGCCAGGCGAGCACGCTACCACTTGAGCCACATCCCCAGCCCCCCAAAAAAAGCCAGTTTTAGCAATGGCGAGGCACCTAGCAACTCAGTGAGACCCTGTCTCTAAATAAAATACAAAATAGGCCTAGAGGCATGGCTTAGTGGTTGAATGCCCCAAGTTAAAAAAAAAAAAAAAGGGAAATTATTATCACTGAACTATATTCTTTTATGTTATCTATATCATAATTTTTAAAATTGCTAATATTATATACAAATACCATTGAATTTTGTACCCATTAAGTGAATTAATTTCATGGTAAATGAATTTATATTTTTATAAAGCTATTTTTTTAAACCAGGGATTGAACTCAGAGGTGTTAAACACTGAGCCACATCCCCCAGCCTTTTTAAAAAATATGTATTTTATTAGATACAGGATCTCACTGAGTTGCTCGAGGCCTGGCTAAATGGCTGAGGCTGGCTTTGAACTCGTGATCCTCCTGTCTCAGCCTCCCAAGTTGCTGGGATTACAGATGTGCATTACCATACCCAGCTTCAGTAAAGCTATTTTAAAAACCTATTTGGAAAAATAATGTTCATTTACAATAATTTCACTACTATTTCCAAATGAAAGCACTATTATAAGATTTCTTTGCCCTGAGATTCATTTATTTAAGTACCTACTAAGAGCAAAGCACTGTGCTTTGTTGGAGATTCATTGATGACAAACACAGTCACAGAGCTTATAATAAAGTTGTGGGAGGCAAATGTTAAAACACTCAGCCCCAAATGAATGTTTAGTTACAAATCTGAGACTATCATGGAAAACGGAAGATTACACTGTCATTAACAAACAGTTTAGGGGTCAGGAAAGGCCTCTTTAAGGAAGTCAAGTGATGACTTAAAAAAAGAATAGGGTTTATCCAGGGAAAGTTTCTAGTGAATTTCATGAACATTTTATAATAAGAAGCAGCTTATAGTGACTTTGGATTCTATGAAACAGCAACACCACAAATAAACATTGTACCAATTTTCCTGTCAACCCATTTAACACACTGAATTCTGACTCTGATGAGTGATGCTATGATATCAGTGTTTCTTTGGCTTCAATATTACCTTCAGATTTACCTGAGCATCTTATAAAATGCAGATGCTGATTCCTTAGGTGTGCACTGGGCCTGAGATGCTGGACCATACTCAACTAAGGAAAACAGGTGTCTCAAGTAAGAGGACATGTCAGTGTTGATGAATTAGCTTGCAAACATTCTCTGTTTATTTTCAGTTCAAGTAAATTTGCTGCTGTTGGATTTCATGGAGCTTTGACTGAAGAACTGAATGCCTTTGAAAAAAATGGAATCAAAACAACCTGTCTTTGTCCTAATTTCATAAACACTGGCTTCATCAAAAATCCAAGCAGCAAGTAAGTTGAGACAAAAGGATTGGTGGTTACTATGAATATCAATCATTTTGTGGGTATTCCTAAATATTTTAATCCCTAAAACACCTGATATTTAATGCACTTAATTCATCTTGCTTTCAGCTTCTATAGATTGTGGGGAACAGGTAGAGAGATTAAAAAAAAAAAGAGGGAAGGAAGACTGTAAATATGAATATGAATGACACAAGTGAACTTGGTAATCCTTTTTTCCCCTTCCCTTAACCAGTGATTCTCAGACTCAGATATGCTTAAATGTCACAGGAGTGTTTTGGAATCATGTAAGCCCCACACCCAGGCATGATGATTTTTGGGATTTGATTGGGGAAAGGGCCTTAAAATTTTGTTTTTCAAAAGCATCATAGGTGATTCTGATGGAGATAACCGGGATTACCATGTGAAAAACTCTTCCCTATGGTAGTTTATAAATTATCTTCCAAACTGAATTTCCAAACTCTTTGCTTGATTGAAAAATAAAATAAAGGATAAGCTCTGAGTATAATTTTTAATTTTTTTTTCAATGGTAGGGATTTAATCCAGGGCCTTGCACATCCTAGGCTAGTGCTTTCCCACTGAGCTACATCCCCAGCCCTCTGAGTATAATTTTTAATGTTTCCTTTCTTTAAAACTAGCTTTAATGTCTTTGTAATCATAATACTTTTTAAAAATTTTTTTCAACATTACAGAAAAATACAAATAAGAAAGTTTCTTCTCAAATTTTCTTAATGCATAGAAACCACTCAGTATATGATAAACATCTTCCTAGGTATCTCAGTATGTACAGAATAAGTTTCTAAACTTTAAATAACTGACATATATTACATATGAGGTTTCGGAAGCAATAACTGCCTACTTCCCTCAGCGTTATGTCATGGGCATCTATTCATATCAGTAAATATAGAACTTATGAATATATTGATTATCCATTCTAGGCATCTTTTCATGTTGATAGAATACAAACCTTTATCAAAAATTGTATTGAACAAAAGGGCCGCTAGTGTTAATTTTAGTGTGGTTTTTAATTTTCTGGATTTTTAACAAAGCAAAGCTGTAAAGAACATCTTGTTAACAAATATTTTCATACTTGGTAATTATCTCCTTCAAGTAGATCCATGAAAGAGCATTGCTGCGTCAAAGGTTATACAGATTGTAAATATTCATGCCTATTGCTCCCCTTCAAAATGTCGCAAAACCTCCCCTTCAAAAATGTTGTAGCAGTTTGCACTCCTACCCACAGTGCAATGGGAACACCTCAGACCCTACTTTTTCATGAGTCTGCCCTCTGCTTGTTTTTTAATCATTGCCAGTTCAATACATGAAGAATCATTTTAATTTTATCCAGATAATTGACCAAAGTGGTCACTTGACTTCTTATATGAATTGCCCGTTTCATGATCTCTGCTCACTTTTTTCTATCAAACAACAGAGTTTTTAAATGAATACATAGAGTCCTTGATACATTTGAAATGCCCTTTCGTGTGTCACTTCTGTCACATATGTATTTTTACCAAATGCTATTATTGCCTTTAAGTCTATTTCACCTTAAAATTTCTAAGGTTTGTTTTTTCCTCTTCATGGCCTTTAGGTTCTATGAGGTGAAAATATGAAAATATCCAGTCATGGGTTTTTTGTTTTTGTTTTGTTTGTTTTTTTGTTTCTTAGCAGTGCTGAGGATTGAACCCAGTGCCTTGCACATTCTAACCAAGTGTGTTACCACTGAATTACACTCTAAGCCCTTCTAGTAAATATTTTATGGTTTCATTTTTTCACATTTGAGTCATTACTCCACCCAAATTTATTTTATTTGAGAAATAAGGTTATGGCACAGTGTACTTTTCCCAAATAGTTAATGAATTATTCTGTACTATTTGTTAAATAATGCATTATTTCCCTCACTGATTTAAAATTTATATCGAAGAAATTCACATATTTACTTGGATATACTTTTTGATTCTCTATTTCGTTGCATTGGTGAGATTTAATTTTTAAGTTTTATTCTGCCCCCTCAAACTTTGTGCTTCTTTTCTCCAATTTAGCTGTTCTTACTGAAAACAAACTTAAAATTAATGAGAAATATTCACAATGTGGACACTTAGGGAGACAGCAGGTTCTATTTTAAATACACCTTTGTGGTTTGGATCAGTAATATTCCCTCAATGCAACAATGTTCAAAGATGGAGCCTGAAGTGATTAAACTATAAGGGTTCTGACCTTATCAGTGGATTAATCCTTTGACCGACTAATAATTTGATGGCATTTTTGAGAGGTGGTGGTGGAAACTATAGTAGGTGAGTCCTAGGCACTGGGGTAACATGCCTTTCGGGACTATATCTTGTCCCTGGCTTCTTCCCCTCAACCTCTCTCTGCTTCCTGGCTGCCATGAGCTAAGCATCTTTCCTCTGCCATGACATTGCACCTTACCTCAGGCCCAGAGACAGTGGAACCAACAATCATGGACTAATCCTCTAAGCCACGATCAAAATAGATCTTTCCTCTTCTAAGTTGATTTTCCCAGGTATTTTGTCACAGCAACAAAAATTTGACTAACACCTTAGCTTAAGTCCCTCTACAGGTAGGCAGAGTGAAAAGCCTATATTAAGAAAAAATTTGGGAGCTCTCCAAAATTCTCAAGTTCCCAAGAATCTATGAAGTGCATGTGCTACCCAGCATATGATGGTATTATGTTCCAATAAACCCACTGTAAGTAGAAAATATCATAAATCAAAAAGCATATAATATACCTCACCTACCAAACATCATATTTCAGAAACATGGCACACCATAGAGTACCGACTGTTTCCCCTCAAGATTGTGACTGACTACATGACTGAAAGGGAGATTTAACCCAGCTTCAGGAAAGAGGATCATACAGCATATCGCTCACTAGCTCAGGGAAAGACCAAAATTCAAAGTATAGTTTCCACTGATGCATATGACAGATGTTTATTATGATGGATATCACAAAGTTGAAAAAATCTTAAGTCATTCTATCCATCTGTAGTCCTTAATATCTATTTTTAAGGCACAGTTTTGTTAGAAAATAAGAGTAAAGTTTGCCATGACTGTGCACACTTGTCCCAACCCTCAGGAGGCTGAGCAGGTGGGGAATCACTTGAGCCTTCAATTTTGACACCAGCCTGGGCAACACAGTGAGATCCCATCTCAACACAAAATAAGTATACATACTTGAGAAGGCTAGTGCTAAAGTTCATCTTTATTAACCAGAAAACCCTAACTATACCCTGAAAAGAGAAGGAAAGAAATGTTTTTTGGGTCAGGGAAGGAAGTTGAAGAAGAGGAGTAGAAGGGTTAAGAGTTCACTAAAACTGAGCAGATGTGGAAGATACCGCTTGCCAATTTCCTGTTATTTTCAGGATTTAGATACTAAAATAACACACTTGAAGCTGTTTTTGTTTTTGGTGTTTTTTTTTTCCCTCAGACTGTATTTCATTAGTTAAAAAAACATACCCTAAAAAAAAAAAAAAAAAAAAAAAAAAAAAACCCTATTTTTTTTTTTTTTTTCAGTCATAACTGAATTTTTAACCTTACCCCCAGGACAAGTCTGCACAAGGCAATAGTGCCCTCTTTTGACAAAACTGTGTTAGCACAACTACAACAAAATTCACTAAAAACATGACTAGAAGCTAACATGATTCTAGCCTGATAGTCATATGCATATAAAACTGGGTAGTAAGGGCCTGGCTCATGGTCCTTTCTTACAGTAAACTGGTAATAGAGTGTTTCCTAAAGATGGGTTTTTAATTTTTGAACTCTTATCAGAGTCACTGACTTTCTGGGCCACTTCATACAGAAAGATCCTTTATGTCTGAGGTTAGGAGTAGAATCATTCATACTCTGTCGGTTTGGAATAATTTGAAATTTTAAGGGTGTTTTAATATTTGATTTCTCCTGAAGAAAAGACTAAAAGAATTTCAGATGTTGGGCAGCCATTAAATCTTGCCTATCAATAATTTGTAATGTGGTATGTGCCCTAAGGTTGTACCTTTTATACTTTAACAATATGATATTTTGCTTTTATATATTAACCCCGGTCCTATTTTAGTGCAAAAAAAAGGTGGGTTTTTAAAAAATATTTTTAGTTGTAGATGGACAGAATACCTTTATTCTGTTTATTTAGTTTTTTGGGTTTTTTTAATGTGGTTGTGGAGATCGAGCCTGGTGCCTCACGCTCATTAGGCAAGCACTCTACCCCTGAGCCACAGCCCCAGTCCTGAGTTGGTTTTAATATAGAAATTTGATCCTTCTAAGAAGAAGGAGAGCAAGTACCCTAATTGAACACTAAGTCAATAAAATCTGTCATTTTATTAAATCTCATAGTAATACTTTGTTAGTTGTCTTCAATGAAAGAGAATTATCTAAGAATTAGAGATATTAAGTAATTTGCCCATAAATACCAGAACTGAGATTCAACTTCTGAGTAGAGAAAATTGAACCAAGCTTAAAATGGCTGAATTTGAAATAATTGGTTTTATATTAATATTGGAACTTTCATGATCTCTTTAAAAACACCCAGATGAAGTTTATTGGTTTTTGTAATATACTTCTAATACACTGCCAAGAAACTGGTTTGCTATAAAGGTTACGGCACAGCATAATCTGAGTTTATGGAAATTAAATATAGCAGGGTGTTCTGATGAATTTTTTGAAAGCTAAGAATTATTTCTGTTACATAAACTTAGCCATCAATAGTTTTCTTTAGAACATTTATTGAAGACCTGCTAAATATTTGAAGCATTCCTAAGTACCTTACATAAATATAGAAACATTACTAGGTATCTCTGATCTCTAACGCTGGAAAATTAGATTGGATCTCCTGATCATAGTTTGCCTATTCCTGCTCTAGTTCTCATAATAATTCTGAAAGGTAAGTCTTTTTGTTAGCTTTCTATCACTGTAATGAAATACCAAGATAATCCACTTATAAAGAGAAAAGATTTATTTTATTTTGAGATAATCAATTATGA